CTGGGTGGGGAGACGCCCCGGGAGGAGGGTTGGAGAAAGCTGAAAGGAGTAGGGAATCAAGGCGAAGTAGGGGTAAACAGCTTTCTGGGTTTGTGTTTTTGGTGGGGGGTCAGAGTTCGTGACCCCTCCCTCGGCTCGGCCGTGAGCTCTCCAATCCACGCCTGCGCAATAACGACGTGGAGAAGCAGCGAGAGGGGGTCGTGACGTTCCCTGGGTGGAGCGGAGAGACTGGAGAGTGGAGCAGCGCCCGAGTCGACCGCCCCCTGTCGGCTTGGAGGGAAATGGCTCGCCAGATCTGCTTGCCATCAGCCACTTTTACAAGTGATGCGCGCCCTTTAGCATAGTGTTTGCCAAATGTAGTCTATTGAAGGCATTTTTGGGTCAATGTTTCAGATTTGAGTAATAACACTAACCGACTAGGATTTATGCAGTTCTATTTATAATTTCTGGAAAACTGGTTTCCGGTAAATACTCTTACATTACATTCTATTAGAGAACAAACGAGATATTTAAATTTCCCTTAATATAACAATCTGAGGCAGAATCAGGTAATAAAGAAATAGTAGAGTTTACTTAACTATTGTGCATAAAGAAATAATAATGACTAATGGAGCAATAATATCACTAGAATGTTAAGTTTCTGATGGTGTATTTCAAGTACGCGAGACAGTCAATACCTACTGGCCTCAAGATTTGTGAAATGAAATGGCACTACCAGAACCTCACATTCTGACAGTGGCTGCTTGTGATAGGAAGCCCGGCCCTGTCTTCAAAGTACTGTGTAGTTTAAACTTTAGAATAAGCTCTCCTTGAAATTTCTTCGGCATTTAACATAGATCAGCTATAGGAAAGCAGGCACAGATTCAGGGTGGAAATCCATGTTAGGTAAAACAAATATAGAGGAGAGTGGTGGCCCACACTTGTAATCCTGGCTACTCTGAGGAAGCCGAGGCAGGAAAATAAAAAATTCGAAGCCAGCTTCAGCAACTTAGCAAAACCCTGTCTCAAATAAATAAATAAATAGGGTTGGGAATGTAGCTTCTGGTGATTTAGCATCCCTGGATTCAATCCCTATTACTGAAGAAAAAAAAAAAAAACTGAAAAATGGTAGGGTTTAAAAGACATCACACCAGTAGTAATATTATAGTAGATTTATTTTGTATAAATATAATACATATTTACTTACAATGCTAATTTTTATTTATAAATGATCTGTATATGGACAATAAGATACAAATTATAGTCACTTTAAGTAGAAAGTATTATAAATAAAAAAATAGTTTTTCAAGATTGGTTCTTATATGCTATGACGAACTCCTATTCCAAAGAAAAAGAAATTTGATATTTAGTTTTTTACTAACTCTATCTTTAAAACAAAATTCTAGCAGAAACTATCTCTTATATGGGAAAGTTCATAGATAATATTTTCCTTTAGAAAATTACATTAAAAGTTTCCTAGACAGGGGCTGGGGGTGTGACTCAGTGGTAGAGCAATTGCCAAGCATGTGTGAGGCACTGGGTTCAATTTTCAGCATCACATAAAAATAAATAGAATAAAGGTATTGTGTCCACTTACAACTGAAAAAAATTTTTTTAAGTGTCATAGACAACAGAATGATGTGTACTGGAAACACTTTAGAGATCTATAAGCAGGAATCCATGTCAACAACAAACACTATTAACTGCATGCAAGTCACTACACCAGAAGTGGTGGGGCAATCTCAAACAAACAAGAAAAGTTGTTCTCAAGGACAGAGTGTGATAAGAATCATATGAAAGTTTATGAACTATAAGACTATAGGAGCATAGAGGAGAATCTACTCAAACTGAACAAGGAAGAAAGGACTAGAATCAACTGTTATAGAGAAATATGGGATAAACAGGCAAAGATGGGGATGAGGTATAAAGGAAAACAAGAAGAAATAGTGTGGACAGAGACATGCTGGATTGTATGGTTCCTGAGGATTGGTTCCATGCTGAACCACCGGGAATGCCACTGAAGTCTGCAAGAGTAGGCATGAATCAAGACTGGAATAATGCTTTAGAAAAATTGCTCAGGCAGTGTTTAAAATGGACCACACAATGAAGGCAATAAAGAAAAATAAGTGTGTTTTTTTAAAAATAATTTTTTTTCCAGTTCTGGGGATTGAAGCCAGGGCCTCTCCCATGCTAGGCAAGTGCTTCACCCACAGAGTTACATTCCCAGCCAAGAAGAAAAATTACTGCAATCACTAGGAAGAGGTAACAAGGACTTGGGCCAGTCCTATGCAAAAACAACAGCAAGACAATGAGGAGGAAAATGATACAAGAGGAATTACAGAGTCGTTTTTGAGATCTGGAGCCTCATGTGTTATCTTTCTATTACAAAGGAAAATAAACATTTGAATAGGAAGAAAATGAGTTCAGTGTTAACACAAAATTTAATCTGCTTGAGGACTCATGAAGATATCCCAACAGGCAGTTGCAAAGTGGCCTTGCAGGATAATGGAGAGAGTAGTGTATGGTCTAAGTTAGAACAGGGAATTAGGTTATGTTTAAATTGTTGATAAGAATTCTGTTCTACTTTTTCCAGTTCAATGTTTTCTCTGAAAAGACCCAAGGAAGTACTGTGGGAGAAACCAATATATAAATACAGCATCTGCCTTCAAGGAGTGTAGAGTACAGTAAGAGAAACAGGGTTTACCTCTCTGAAAATCATAGTAACTATATTTGACTATGATGAACCTCAAACTTCAAAACCTTAACACATGGAAGCATATTCAAAGACAATAACAACACATGCTATGGTAATATTTATATATTAACTAAATTATTAAAATAGGAGGCTTTCCCTTCTAGGTATTCTTCTAGCCAAATATAAAATATACATTTGGTTAACAGAACTATAAAGTCTTCGTCACTTAGTAATATCATTATAAATTATGATTAATCAAGGGTTTGTCTGATGTTCTCATTTATAGAAATGTTGCTGGGACAGGAGATATAGCTCTGTGGAAGAGCATTTGCCTAGTGCAAGGCCCTGAGTTTGATCCCCAATACCCCCCCCCCCAAAAAAAAATAAAAGCTAGTTGCCTAGGCAGGACGGTACATACCTGTAATCCTCGCAAATCAGAGAACCGAGGCAGGAAGATCACAAGTTTGAGTCCAGCCTGGGGAACTTAGTGAGCCCTGTCTCAAAATCAAATGAACAAAGAGGGGCTGGGGGGGCGTGTCTCAGTGATGGAGTACTTGTCTAGCATGTGTAGGCCCTGGATTCAATCCCAATACAACAAATATAAAACAGCAAAAATCCCCACACAAAACAAAACAAAAAACTACTAAATATTCAAACATTCAGTTGGAGAAGAGGGAAGTATGTATCTTGGGCAGCCAAAGCACAGTAGGAGGATATTGGCTACATTAGAAAACAGGAAAAGAGATTGGAAAGAGGTTCAGACAAGTGAAATCATGACAACCTTTCCATTTTCTTTGGACTCTGGTGGTCCTCTGCTTTTAAAGCTGCTACATATAAAAGAAGACTGTTGGTTGGGATACTTGCAAGAATGCTGTCTTTCCCCCTAGTTTAGCTGGCATCTTGTCTAGATTATTTTCAGCATCCTTTTTTCAGCTTAGATATATAACTGCCTCTCTCCTTATAAACAAAAGGAGACACTAAAAAGGGTTTCATGGAAACACATGTATCTGTAAAAAATATAGTACTCTTGGGATCTAGAGACTTATACTTTCTCCACACTTATAGACTGCACCCCATATCATTTTTTTCCTTTAAAATGTTAGCTATCAAGAGATGTTTTTAAAAATAGTTTACAACAGATTGTAAGTAACTGTGTTCTTAGTTAGCACTGAGTGAGCCAGATTAAATAAATAATAATTGATCTTCTTTAGTAAGTTATCAAGGACTGATATGGGGGGCGGGAGAGAATCTAACACTATTAACAAACTACTTTATGGGGATGAATAATCTAATGCCTTCTATTTTATATTTTTCAAAATGGCTAAGAGAATACAGTTATACATGAGTTTCACATGTAATTAAAGTCTGTGCTAGCTTTGTCTTCTCTGTGTACGTTTACTTTGTGTGTGTCTGGGTGGGTACAAGAGGTTAAACTCAGGGGTGGTTAACCACTGAGCTATAGTCCCAGCTCTTTTATTTATTTATTGAATTCTTTTGTTGTAGTTGGACACAATAACTTTATTTCACTTATTTATTTTTATATAGTGCTGAGGATAGAACCCTGGGTCTTGCATGTACAAGGTGAGTGTTCTCCCGCTGAGCCACAACCCCAGCCCCCAGCCCTTTTTATTTTTTATGTTGAGCCAGGGTCTTGCTAAATTGCTTAGGGCTTTGCTAAATTGCCAAGGGTGTCCTCAAACTTGCAATCCTCCTGCTTCAGTTTCCCAAATTGATGGGATTATAGATGCAAGCCACTACACTGGGCTAGTCTGGTATTTTATTCAGCCAGATGTCAAAGATAGAATAGTCTGGCTGATAATTTTTAGATCCTGAGATTTATGCCGAATTTTAAAGGCCAAGAACTCAAGGAGGAATAAGAACCCCAAATAATCTGTTGTATTGCTAAATGCCAGACAGTGCAACAGAAGGAAATACTTATTAGGCATTCATTGGCCTCCAAAAAGAATATACTAAAAATGCAGAGGTGTTAAGGTGGAAAACTTAATTTATGTGATCTTGATTAAAGTGAGCTACAAAGAAATATCAGTTTACCTGATGTGACAAAAATACTTGGGAGGATAGCATGTTAGAATTGTGTGGAAGGCTGCATAGGGATTATGACAATGCCATAGCAGGAAATAGCCAGAAAAGACTATAGCTACCAACTCTAGATCTAGTTTGTTTGCATCTAAAAGGCCCTGTGAAGGCATTTAGGATGTAATTCTTTTGACTATCAGTATCACAATGAATTAGAAAATCCTTTACAATGAAGCAGAAAGTTCTTGTACCCTTTAATGATACAGTCTACAGATAACCTTGCCTTTTAAGATAATTTATAATTTAAACTCAGTAGACAAAATGTATATTATGAATATCAGGAACAACTTTAATCACTGTGCTGATTTCATTTTTCTTTTTCTTAATTTTTTTTTGTCATAGATGGACACAATACCTTTATTTTACTTATTTATTATGTGGTGCTGAGTATCAAACCCAGTGCCTCACACGTGCTAGGCAAGGACTCTACCACTGATCCACAACCTCAGCCATTGATTTTATTTTTCTATTGTTGATGCCCAATTTTATGCATAAGATGGTTCATATATTAAACAATAGTATGCCAGAATTAGCAATGTAGGTGCACAGATAGTTAAAAAAAAGGTATTTTTATTACTAAGGTCACATCACAAATGAAAAAGAATACTATACAATTTCAGTTGATATTGGCTTAGAATTTGTGCTTTTCTAACATGGTAATTCCAGTTCATTTTTTTTTTTTAAAGCTCAACATTATAGGAAATGTAACACTTATAAATACCTGACTTGGGCTCAGAATTCTCAAAATAGCAGGGAATATTATATAAAATAATACTTGCCATATTTTGCTATTTAAAAAAATACTCAATTAATGAAAAGCCCATAGAGTTGATTACTTGTGTCTCTGCAAATGAAAACATCCTCATTCCTACTCACAGTTTGATAAAAGTCAGATTTCTATTCCTTTGTTATAATTCTTTGATGATTAATATTAACTCATGCCAGAAGACATACATAAGGTAGAAATACTTTAGACAATTTACTGAAATTTCATTTCACAGTTACTGAGGTAGAAGCTAGCCATATATTTTTCATTGAAAGATTAAAAAAATTCATCTAACTTATTAATTCAAAGATATGCATTTTCACCAGCATTTTTATGATAATCTTAATTTCTAAACCAAGCACCACATGGAAATTTGCTTCTTGATGTGTTTTTTTTTAACTTACAAAGATTTGTCACTAGTGAAAATGTCACAGTGTAAAAGCAGAGAAAATGATGTGGACTGTGTCACAAATAATTAACACTGTATATAATATTAAGGTATTATGGTACTTTAGAATTCAGTGTGCATCTCAGAAACAATTCTGACCATTAAGTAAACATCACAACTTTAATAAATAACATACATGAAAAAGCAAACATTAATTAAAAAAACTCCTTATACCTAACAAAATAATTTCTTATATCTGATGAAGTGTTTGGTTGGATTTATCTTGGCAGTGTTTATTTTTATAAAATGCTTGAATTGCTTTTACTCCATTCTGATGAAATTCCACTTCCTTGGAATCACAGAAAAGATGAAACCAATACTGCTATAATATTGTGCCTTCCTGAAATGCTTCTATCCACCTGTTAATAAGAGAAATCTGTTAGATGTGTAAAACCCAGTCATCTGATATATGTGAGCACAATATGGATCATAACTGGGCCTGTAGACTGGATTACCATGACAGAATATTTAAGATCTTAGGGCAAACTAAAATCCTTGTATACATGGAACTGCCTTTTATTTGGTAATATGGTTCAAAATTTGGCCTGCCAAGTGTCTCTCTTATGATTATGAGGCAGGCGAAAGGGAACATTTCATGTGTAAAAAGTTCTATAAAGTCCCGATGCTCCCATGTAATTGGTTATGGAAGTAGCTATATCAGCAAAGGCTTTTATTACAACTCCTTTTCTCTTTTCTGGTGTTCTGACTCAGTTCTAGTAAGAACAGTAGCTGTGTGCCTGTTTCCTCCTCCTTTGACCCTACCAGAATTTCTTTGGATATCTCCTATCCTACTCCAGACTGGTCCCAATACTTTTCATTAAAGGACATCAATATGGCATTTAGTCCACTCCCAATTGATCAAACTTCTACATGCAATATGAAAGCTTTTCAAAATTTCACAGAAGTCTTTCCAAAATTCTTTAGTCTCAATGTTTTAATTCGACAATAAACACAGCTGTAATTATTCATTAGGCACTGGGGGTAGTTTGTTTTCCATACCTATTAGTCTTATTGCTTCTGAACTTATTTTTCCCTTTTTTCCTGAAATATAATTTCTTACAGTAATAGGTTAAAGAAAAAGTCCAGCCTGGCACTATGGTGCACACTTCTAACTCAGCAACTTGAAGACTGAGGTAGGAGGATTGCAAGTCAGCAACTTAGCAAGAACCCATCTCAAAAAATAAAAAAGGTATGGGGTTGTGGCTCAGTGGTGGAGTACTTGCCTAGCACATGTGAGGTACTGGGCTCGATCCTCAGTACCACATGAAAATAAATACATAAAATAAAGTCATTTTAAAATGTCATCTTTGCCTTATTCAAAGCTGGTGGTAGGGGTGGCTGGAGGTATAACTCAGTTAGTTAGTGGTAGAGTGCCCCTGGATTCAATCCCCAGAACGACGACAACAACAACAACAACAACAAATGGTGGTGGGGGGGGTCCAGGCAACTATGAACATTTGAAATCACCCATTTTAATTAGTAAGAACACCCCATAATAGATTCTGGTCGAATTTCAAGGGCAAAATTTAAAAAATTTTGAATTTTGTACATAAATAGCCTATATGTTATAACAGCAAAACTTTTAAAGTGTCTCACAATTGTCCAGTAAAATTAACACATTTTAATATTCTGTCATGTACAAAAAATGCAATCTATATGATATAAATAGCTTCAAAAAGAAACTTACAATTTAGCTTGGATCAATTCTAAATTATAAGTAAGTTGACTTTTTTCACCCAATTACATTTAATTCTGTTTTAACAGCCTTTCAGTTGAGTCAACTTAATGGTATAAGCAAAAGATCATGTGTTTGAAAAGCAATAATTTTTATTGGTTTCATGATAAATATAGATGAAAATTATGAGAAAGACAATATGTTGCAGAATCTTAGGGTGATAACTATTTTGTCCAAATATTTTTTACAGAAAAAAAGAGTAAAGTAATATAATTTTAAAATATTTTTCAATACCCACAGAGAATTATTTAGAAAAACAGGGGCTGGGGATGTGGCTCAAGTGGTAGCGTGCTCGCCTAGCATGCGCGCGGCCTGAGTTCGATAATCAGCACCACATACAAACAAAGATGTTGTGTCCGCCGAGAACTAAAAAATAAATATTAAAAAAAAAAAAAAAGAACCAGAAAAACAGCTATGCACTACAGAACATCCTAAAACTGGCCAGGGGTGGAGGGTGGGGGCAGCCTTACAGCATGGTTTTTTTAGTTGTAGATGGACACAATATCTTTATTTTTATTTATTTAAAAACTTTTTTTTTTTGTAGTTGTAGATGGACAGAATGACTTGGTTTTATTTGTTAATTGTTATGTGGTGCTGAGGATCAAACCCAGAGCCTCATGCATGCTAGGCAAGCACTTTGCCACTAAGCTACACTGTATGTATCTGGTTAGCAGTCAGAACACAGGCAATTCTGATATGTAGATTCAAATTGCCTTAAGAAACCACCAGACTTGCTTATTCAAAGCACTCTTTTTTTTTTTTTTAAATCTTCAAGCACATTAAAGCCCACTGAGAAAACATGAACATACATCTCTTATGAAAAACACAAAAGTGTATTTTGTGAGCCAAAGTACAACTCAAATGAAAAAGAGGTGAACTGATCTACTTTGTTCAGCAGGGATCCTGATTTCACAAAGATACATACACCTCCTCTAATCTGTTAAACAACTTTATAACATCTAAATAAATCAAGATTCCTGTTGGAATGTTGAAGAGGCTTTCAGCTTTCACCATCTAAAATGATATCCATTTCCTTCTACTGAGTCACTGAAAACAGCATGGAGCCTCTTTACATGTTTGACCTTTTTCTCAGAGAAGTAAGTTTGTAAGCAGCTGTTTCAACTCCTGCTGTTGCACAGCATAATTGAATCACTGGATGGCCAAAGCCCTGGAATGTTTCAAGGGAAGATTCTTAGCCTCAGTGATGGAGAGGTCAGATGCCTCAGCTTCCCTTCCTCAGCAGAGCTGCACCATGCTGCTTCCTCTGAGGTCATGTGTGGACAGAGTACTTTGGACAGGACTACCCATCTTCTTTTCCCATCTGTCTCCTGAAACTATTCCAGATACCCTTGCTTTCCTTTGTTTTAGAACAATTCTAAAGAGTTTGAATAATATATTAAATCTGTCTAATTTGGACCCATGGTTTAAATTCTGAGTTGTCCCCATGCCTTAAAGAAGGTAATCTTAAAGTCAATCATTTAAATAGGAAACTTGAAATCTCACATATAAAAAGGAAAATAAGTCTACATTACTTACTTCTGAGCTGAGTGAGCATCATCTGCTTTGAACACATAAAATAACATGTTTTTGTGCAGTAACTGAAATACTTTAGACTCTGAATTCTCATCTTTGACTTGAGTGACAGTGAATCCTAATAAAGGCTGGCTCTCCAAAGCTGCCACATCCTAATTTAAAAATAGACAAATAAAGATAGGCTTTTAAACTGAGACACAATTCAGACTTGAGAGCTTTTGATCAATGTAGCTCCAAATTAACTTCATATACATATATCTAAAAAAGTTCTATTATGCATTTTTAATTTATTCTACAATATTTATTGAGCCATCCACTCCCCACCTCCAGATACTGTGCTAGAAAATTTCAGCATGTTCACATTCATTGAATTTCACATTATTTTCACTACAGCCAAGGAAAGTAAGTGACTATATTACTTTAATTTTATGGATGGAGAAGCACAGCTTGGAAAGGTGAGTTACCCAGATCCTCCTAAGGAACAGCTTGGACCCTGGAGGTTTTTCTAGGCTGTGAGAACACCAGAGGCTTTGGGTAGAAGAAAAAGACAGAATTTCAGCAACAGCTAGAAACTGTTCATAATCCAAAGCCTATTTTATTATGCTGAGGCCTGACCAATATAATCAGGGGACTGTTGGATATGGAAAACGAGAAACCCCAAAATAATGTGACCTAGGGAGAAGGAATGAGGGAGAAGGCAATACATTGATCCTTTCCGGAGACAGTCTTTCCCAGTGACAAGACAGGCCCTGGGGAGGAGATATTTATCAAATCTGAAATGATAGTTTCTGGGAAGAGGCCAGAACATTGATTCCACCTTAAACAAATTCTTTCCCAGACACTAACCACTAACATCACATCCTCCATTTGGCCCAGTAAAGACAGCCCAAACTGACATGCTCATTAATTAAGTCACTTCTCAGTGTAATCAATATAAGCCTAAACTCCCCCTCTGGCCCGTGGCTCATTTTCCACAAGGAAAGTGGGTCCATCAGAGGCGTCACTCCATCCCTAAATAAAAGTTGTGCTGATCCGTGAAGTTTGCATCAAGCTCAGTCCCTTTTGTGTAAACAGGGACAGTCCTGAGTGTGTCACTCAAGAGAGCTGGACAGAAAGTGATACTGGTGCAGTGGAGATCAGGAATGGGTTCTTGTTTCCCAGTGTTGAAGAACTCACACCAGAGAAACGCCAAAGCAAGTATAGCAAGTTTTATTTAAGAAAGTGATAGAGACAGATTTCTTTAAAGAGAAGGGGGCTTTGGAGCCGAAAGCCTGTGGGCGGGGGTGGACTTGCCTTTCTTATAGACCTCATAACCCCACTCTTTAATCACTGCCTTCTCTTTCTTCCCTGTGTAAGTGACTGGGAGCAGGAGCATGGAAGTTAATTGTTAGCAACCCAGAGTGCAGAGGAGCACAAGAGGAGGTTAACCGTTAGCAACCCATTGTTCTCTCTTTGAAAACCAGTCCTCAGCCTCTTGACCTGACCCCCATTGTTCATTACCTACACTGACTGCCTGACCTTTGTCTCTGCCTCAAAGGGATAAGAAGCTCTGCCTTTAGTGAAGTGGTAGTAGTCACCCAGGAAGACTTGTACTTTATTACTGTGGAAAATTCTTAACAGGTGAGTTAAGGTGAGTAAGAGCTCTCTACTAGGTATCCATTAAAAATGACACCACCTTGCTCCAAACCAAAGCAACAAGGAGCTGGGGGAGGGCCTGGATTCTACCCCCACCAACACAAAAACCAAAACAAACAAACAAACAAAAGCAGAGCAATAAAACGTACACAAACTAAAACAAGACCCCCAAATTACTCATCTTTAGATTTCACATCTTACCTCACTTGCAGCATATGTATACAACACTTTATTTTTTATGACAAACCACAAGTGTTTCCATGGTTTCTTATTGCCCTTTGATCTGTACAAATAGCCACTCATAGAAGAATCTTCTGTGTTTGCTGATACCTGTAAGTAAGCCCATACATTAATGGTTTTTGGACAAATTGTAAAGAACAGCAAAGTTGCTTGTCATCATTAAGAATTAATAGCAATCACCATAACAACAGAATCTTTCAGAATGAAATTGTGCATTTTCAAAGTGTGCTACAATACAAATTTGCATGAGCATAAAAATCCTTGCTCTTAGAAACAAGTTCTAGAACTTTACCTATTACCATGCTTGCACGTGTGTGTGTGTGTGTGTGTGTGTGTCTGTCTGTCTGTCTATCTGCCTGTCTTAGTAGGATCCTCTGTATTTTCTGGTTTGGTAGGAGAAGAAAAATAACCCAAAAGCCTTCCATGCTTTTTTGTGAAGATGCATTTTGGGACTGCATATGTTATCTACTGCTTTTCTTGCAAATATTAGGGGGAAGTTATTTAAATCGTTAACTCCATTCCTGAAGTGACTTTTTGGACTTCTAAAAACCAATCAATGAATAGTAAGTAGAAAATCCCCTCACCCCCAAAGAGGATCTAACCCAGGGCCTTACAATGCTAGACAAGCACTCTATCATTGAGATAAAAAGCCTGAAAATTCTATTAATGGAGGTTATTTTAAGGATCAATCTTGCTCCCCAAACTATGTTCTGAAAGAGAAGAAGCTATTGAGGCATGGTGGTACATGCCTGAAATTCTAGTTACTCTGGAGGCTGAGGCAGGAGGATCATGATTAGTTCAAGGTCAGCTTGTGCAACTTACACCTGACCTCAAAATACAATAAATAAATAAATAAAGACTGAAGATGTAGCTCAATGTAGAGTACTGGCATAGCATGTGTTCAATCCCCAGTACAAAATCAAAAGGAAGAAGAAAAAGCAGCTTATTTTTGTTTTATAAAAGTTGAAAATGCACCTGGGGTTGTGGCTCAGTGGTAGAGCACTTGTCTAGCATGTGTGAGGCACTGGGTTCAATTCTCAGCACCACATATAAATAAAATAAAGAAGGTTCATCAGCAAAAATAAAAAAATAAAATAAAATAAAAAATTTATATATATATATATATAAAAGTTGAAAATGTTCAAATTTTTATGCAAAAAAGCATCAGTGATTATAATCTGGCAGTTTAAAGCGCTTTTTTTTTAAAATCATGTTTAGGATTTGCCTTATTAGAAGTGTGGCGGGCAGACTCTGTGCCTGTGTGTGGTTGTGTATCTGTGGGTGTGTTGCTGGGAATCCACATGGCTCATAGGTAAGCACTCTAGCCAGGTGGGTAGACTCTTAAGGTGACTTCCTATGATCCTTGCCTCTGACAGTCACAGTGTCGTGCTTCCTCCTATTGAGCAAGGACAGAACCTATGACTTACTTCTAATGAAAAGAATCTGATGGGGGTGGGAAAGGGAAAGACAGTAGAATGAACTGGACATAACTCTCTTATGTTCATATCTGAATACATGACCTGTGTAACTCTACATCATGTATAACCACAAAAGTGGTAATTTATAGTTCATGTATGTATGATACATCAAAATACACCCCACTGTTCATGTATAACTGAAAAGAACAAATAAAAAAAAAAGAATCTGATGAAGGTGATGGGATGTCACCTCATGATTATGCTACATTATATAAGACTCTCTCAAGCTAGAAAACTGACCACAGAGACTTTTCTCTTTGTAGTTATGTTGAAAGGTCCACTGGCAAGGGGCTGAGGATGACCACTAGCAGAAAGCAGCTTCTTAAGAAGCTAGGCTTTCAGTCTGCAACAGCAAGGAAATGAATTCTCCAAAAAACCTGAAAGAGCTCTGAAACAGCCCCTTTGCCAGTTGAAGCTCCAGATGAGAATTCAACACTGGCCAAACCTTGATTATGGTGCTGCAGAAATCCCAGCTAAAACATGCCTGGACTCCTGAGATAGTAAATGCATGTTATTTCAAACTACCAAAAGTTTGTGGTAATTTGTTATACAGCTATGGAAAACTATTATGGCGGGGGTGGGTGGGTGAGAGGGGTTCTTTAATTTTATATTTGTAGTGCCAGGGCTTTGTTCATGCTAGGTAAGTATCCTATCGCTACCCAGCCTTGTGAATTTTATTTTATCTAAATTTAAGTTTTTTATGATACTGAGAATTGAACCTAGGGATGTTCTACCACTGAATTATATCCCCAGCCCTTTTTTATTTTTTATTTTGAGACAGGGTCTTAAATTAGTTGTTACTAATCAAAAGTTACTTGAACTTTTGATTCTCCTGCCTCAGTCTCTCAAGTAGCTGGGATTACATGTACACACCACTGTGCCTGACTAGCCCTGTGAATTTTAAAAATATATCTTTAATTATGCATTAATGGATGAATTATATGAATTTCTTATAAATCTTACAAAAGGATTATATATTGTTTACTGGAAATTTTAAGAGCTAACACTAAGTTACAAATGTCAATTAAGTGAAAGTAGACTTGTGTTAAAAAAAAAAAAAAAGCATCCTTTAAAAGTCTATCAAGTAGGACTGGGGCTTTGGCTCAGTGGCAGAGAGAGCTTGCCTGGCACATTAAAAAGTAATATTGGTGTTAACAATTTAACCATCTGATTCACTAAGGCTTTTTTTTTTCTTTTTTTTTTAAGAGGGAGAGAGAGAGAATTTTAATATTTATTTTTTTTAAGTTTTCGGCGAATACAACATCTTTATTTGTATGTGGTGCTGAGGATCGAAGCCGGGCCGCACATTTGCGAGGCGAGCACGCTACAGCTTGAGCCACATCCCCAGCCCCAGTGGTAGAGTGCTCGCCTAGCATGCATGAGGCCCTGGGTTCAAACCTCAGCACCACATAAATGTAAAATAAAGATATATGCCCCTAAAAAACAAATATTTAAAATAAATAAATAAATAAATAAATAATACTCAAAGAGCAGTCTGTCATTTCTAAGGGTACCAAGAATCTGAATGTAATTCTAAAACAGAGGGTTTTCTAAAAATTTTCTAATTTCACTGAAATAAGGGCTGGGATGCATGTAGCTCATTGGTTAAAGTGCTTGTTTAGCGTGTGTGAAGCCCTGAGTTCAATCTCCAGTACCACAAAACAAAACAAAACTTCTCAGTTTGTCAAAAAGTTAAACATAGAATTATCATGTGACCAAGCAAGTCCATTCCTAAGCATAAACCTAAGATATATGAAAATGTATGTCTACACAGAAATCTGTACATAGATATTCATAGCCTGTAAGAGCCAAAATGTGGAAACATCTCAAATGTCCATCAAGGGATGAATGGATAAATTGTGGAATACAGATAAAACGAATATCATTTAGACATAAAAGAAATGAAGTGGGGCTGGAGTTATGGCTCAGTGGTAGAGCACTTGCCTGGCATGAGTGAGGCCCTGGGTTCAATCCTCAGCACCACATATAAGTAAATAAAAAAAATAAAACAATATTAAACTAAAACATATTTTAAAAAAAGAAATGACATGCATGATGCATGCTATAATACTGACACATGCTATAATTTTGACAAACCTTGAAAACACTATGGTAAGTGAAAAGAACCTGGACATGAAAGTTACATAGTCTATGATTTCTTTTTCATGATATAACCAGAATAGGCAACTCCAGAGAGACAGAAGCAGATTAGAGGTTGCTATTGGGTGGGAGGAGGGGAAAAGGGACTGATTACTGAATGTACAAAGGATGTTTATATGGAATGATGAAGAGGTTTTGAAACTAGAAAGATATCGTCGTGGTTACCCAACATTGCCAGCACACTGAATGCCACTAACTGTATACTTTAAAATGGGTAATTACATGTTATGTGAATTTCACTTCAATTAAGTAAAACAAAACCAAAGAACATAGTTTCCCAAGGAAAATACTATAGTTTGATGTTTACAACACTTAAATATACATATTAACTTCTCGGGTATGACTATAAAGGTCAAAGAATAGCTCTCAAACATTAGCAGGCATGTGAATCACCAGGGTGCTTGCTAGAATTTCTGATTTTGTAGACTTTGGGTGAGGCCTGAGAATTTCCAAGTTCTCAGGAGATAACTGATGTAACCGGTCTCAGAGCCACTTAGAAAATCAGGTGACTAAAGGAAGAAATGGCTGTATTCAAGAACTGGAGGGCAGCATAAAACAGGACTAGAGTTAGACTGAATCTAGGCTATACTCTAAGATTTTTGTAACTAATGCTGACAAATTTCAACTGAAGACGGGAGCAAATTGAAAGAATTGTATTTAGAAACTAGTATGACATTGGAGAAGTTAAAAATTATAGAGAATTGAGAACCACTTCAGTTGATTAAGAAACTTAAGGCAGGTAGGTTATTTATTTATTTTATTCATCCATTCATTCATTTATTTGTAGACAAGGGGTCTTGCTGTTTTGCCCAGGCTGGCCCCAAACTCCTGGGCTGAAGGGATCCTCCCTCCTCAGCTTCCCAAGTAGCTGGGACCTCAAGGGTGAATGACAGCACATGGCAAGAACCTCAAAGTTATGAATGCAGGTTTATACTTGGGAACTGAGGGATAGAAGAGACAGTTTAGAGGTGCTCACTAAATTGGCTTAACCAGTTTCACTTAAAGCTTGGCAATTAGAAACTTCAAATCCTTATTATTTCATCAGATAAGTAATCAATCACTGGGAATATATTCTTAGTTTTACCTACGAATCATGATCCTCATCAAAATTTTAAAGTTGTTTGCTTCCACTCTGTATAACAGAACACCTTCATGGTAAACAAGCAGGTGAATCAAAAACCCTAGTCAGATCTGGGGTTAGTGGCATGTACCTACAGTCCCAGCTACTTGCGAGACTGAGGCAGGAGGACCCCTTAAGCACAGGAGTTTGGGGCTAGCCTGGGCAACACAGTGAGACCGCATGTCAAAACAATACTAAACAGCTGTGTGTGGCAGCACACACCTGTAATCCCAGTGACTCGGGAGGTTAAGGCAAGAAATGACAAGTTAGAGGCCAGCCTCAGCAATTTAGCAAGGCCCTAAGCAACTTAGCAAGATCCTGTCTCAAAATAAAAAATAAAAAGGGTTGGGATGTATATCAGTAGTAAAGTGGCCCTGGGGATTCAATCCCCAGTACCGAAACAACATGGACAACAACAACAGATAAAAGCTACCAGCTCTGTGGGCTATAATACTAGCACAAGAGGAACTAATGAATAACTAATTGTGATGGGAGGGGCCAGAATGGCAATGCTGTCTGCTCTCTGGCACTTGTTGATTGACACTTACATTTGAGGAACTGTGACAAGGTATCAGTGTTGCCTGTGGATTTTACTGCTGGCAGATAGCAGCCACTGTTTAATAAAATTTTCTTTGTTACCAGGGTTGTTTTTTTTAATATATATATATATTTTTAGTTATTGATAGACGATTATTTTATTTACATATTTATATGTGGTGCTGAGAATCGAACCCAGTGCTTCACACATGACAGGCAAGTATGCTACCACTGAGCCCCAGCCCCATCCTGACTGTTTAAAAATTTAAGATTAAAGGATGTCAACAAATAACAAACCATGTAAATCAGTAAATGCTAACAAAGGGCCCCCATTATTCTATGAACTCCTTCCCTTTGGAAAGAGGCCTCCTTGAAGTAATTTTAAAAATTCAAATGTGTTCATCTTAGCTTTATTCTCTACCATTACTATAAAAGGTTCTCTGAAGCTTTCAACAGCCATTTTCTAAATGACTCAGGTCATAAGGGAGACCAAGCAAGATTGTAAGAAATCAACCATCTCCATCACCAGTATTAAAATTCATATTTTAATAGCAATGGGAAATAACATCCTCCTTTATGAAATAAAAACAGCATGTTATGTGCATATGAATAATTCAACCTCTATCTCATTATAAGTTTAATGGAAACACTTACTTCTTTGAGAGCGGCTGGGATTTTTTTCTGTTTCCTCCCTGATGGAATACTATGTAAGACTGATGATAAGGCACTTGAAGGAGATTTGTGATTCCCAGGAGATCCAACCTTAGGGGAGTGCTGGCGATCTACAACAAACCAGATACAAACTTATGTAGCCAATGGTGAGAGGCATTCTGCGCTTCAACTTAATTCAAATCAATAAACACATTGTACAAAATAGCCATAAAAGGATGCTCGAGAAATGGATGACATCCATGGCCCTGGAAAAAGGAAGATGATTGCTGAGAGCTGAGTGAGAGGAAGACTCCACTGTCTGATTTTCTACTTTTTGAACTTTAAACCACATGAAGAAATTATCCTTTTGAGCCTTTAAATTTCTGAAACATATGAATGTCCTGCCAAATGGAAAAAAATAACCACCCCCCAAAACTTCCCTACTGACTTAAAAAATACCTAACTTTATTCAGTGTCTAGATACTTAACCAAGTAACAACATTACAATGAACAAGGTACTAAAAAGGAGCTCTGTAGGATACAAAGGAGGGAACAATTAATCCTGACTGCAAAGGAAACCCTAGGAAGAGAAGGAGACATTTACATTGGACACTGAGGCGTAAGTAGTTTGCCAGGTATAAGAGGGGGGAGAACACTCCACGCGGAAGTCAGCGTGAGCAACTGCATTATAAAATAAGGAAGCTAGAAAAAAAGGGACCTGGAATGCTCTTTAGGTTGGGTGTATCAAGACCAGATCAAATTTAGAAATTAAATCTGGCAGTAGTCAGGAGAGATTTGCAACAAAGAAAACTCATAAGAAAATTATTAAAGAAATTTAGACCTCATTAGGACTGATACAAAATCAACACAGACTATTTGAGAAGAAGCTGACAAGATTTAATAACCAAATAGGTGTGGATGATTAGAAAGGAAGATTCAAAGATGAATTTAGAATGTCTACAGTTCATACTATGGGTTCAAAGAACAAAGAGAGGAACAGAAAGGCTGGCAAAGGAACAGGGGATGTGTCTCCATGGAAAATGTACAGACTATAATGTACTACTGTTAATTCACAAATACATGGATTCTGAAACAGGATGTCATCTACTTTTTTTTTCCCCACATAGATATTCCTATCTACTGAGGAGAAGTTATTTTTCATGGAGTAAAGGACAATCTTTTCAAGATTTAGATTCTATATGTTTCAGAAATTTAATTACATTTCCCCATCCAAAATGTAGACTTGAATGGTCCTACTTGCGTTCGCTTGGCCTGGAGGATGCTTGAAAATAACTAGAGGATATGTATGAAGCATCATTTTGTATTTGTTCAAAAATCTACAATAAAATCTTATTAAAAGTGTTACCAGGCATGTTTCCATAGACCATGACTTTATAAATAGTTAGAAAATAATTCTTACTAGCACACTATTATGGGAAACAAGAAACTTCAAAATAACTTGCAAGTTAAAGTTCCCGTTTGTTTTAAGTATTTAATTTTGTAATTTTATACAATTGGTTTTCTTAGCAAAACATTTTCACACTGTAAAAACAAATCTCAGTCCAAGTTTTCTTGAAAATTACCACAAAGTATGAGTTAAGAAAGCTTAATACTAATTTTAAGACAAGCATCAACAATGCTAATGTACCAAAGATGATTCTTTCAGAAGCCTATTGGAAAGCATCTAGGGAAAAATGGAATTTTTGGTCAAATCTTTACTTATACATTACCTAGTTTCTGCAACTCTTGGAAACAGTGTTCACATACTCTTGCTGGCTGATTTTTCAGGTAATCTAAGCCATACTTATTTGATGAACAAGCTTGGCATACAATCTGAAAACACATTACAATTATTTTGTTTATATAATAACTTTTGTTTCCAAACTATAAAGTAGGTCTTACAGCACTGTCCACTTTTCAAAACAGTTACATGCTCATGTTATCTTACTTAACCTCATGGAGTTCAGGCATACAGTGAACTAGCATGTGATATCACACTTGAAAGACAGAGAGGCCACAAATCATCACAGAGCAACTACTGTGTAAAATAATGCAGTCAAAGAGCTAATATGCATCAAGTGCTTAGAACAGTGCCTAGCATGCAGTAAGTCCTGATAGCTGCACTGACCATTATCATCATCATCATCACCATCACAGCTGCAGCAATGACCACTTCTATGCTCCTCTGCCAAGTGTCTGGCTCCGTACCAAGTGCTCTCTAAATGGGACCTTGTTCCTTGTTTAATCATTTTCATTTTTAATACTAGGGATTGAATTTAAGGGCACCCAACCACTGAGCCACATCCCCGTCCCTATTTTTTGTATTTTATTTAGAAACAGGGTCTCACTGAGTTGCTTAGTGCCTCGAATTTGCTGAGGCTGGCTCTGAATTCACAATCAAAGCCTGCCTCAGCCTCCCAAGCTGCTAGGATTACAGGCATATGCCACCGCACCTGGCTTGTTTAATCTTTAGAGTAATGTGGATATCATTGTTATTAAGCTCACATTACTGATGTCAAGAAGGCTTATGCTATAGTTGGGATCTGGAAAGTACCCCAAAGGCCTATGATTGAAAGCACTGGTCCCCAGATTGGGTGTGTTGGGGGTAGTGGAACCTGTAAAAGGGGGGGCCTCGTGGGAGGTTTTAAGTTATGGAGGATATGTCCTCATAGGAAATTGTGGAACCCTGGTCTCTTCCTCTTTTTTTAAATGTTTTTCCTGGCCATGAACAGTAAACAGCTGAGGTGAATAGGTTTTCTCTGCTGTGTGCTCTGCTCCTACTCCCACCATGATGTGCACCACAGGCAAAACCATGAGCCAAATAAACCTCCAAAACCATGAGACCAAATAAACCTTTTCTCTTTCTAAATTGATTTTTTTCAGGTATTTGTTATTGCAATGGAAAGCTGACTAAAAAAACTAACAAGTGTCATTAGGGGTAATTTGACCACTGGAAGTTCCCCTTGCTAAATACTTAGTATGTAGACAGAGGTGGTTTAAATAACTAGCTATAGATGTGAGGATCGTTTAATCATGGATTTGTTAGTTTTGGTTTCTGAATGTAAGTTCTCTATTACTGACATCAGAAAGTACATTTGGGGTGAGAGGAGGGAAGTTCCCTAACAAGATTTCCCTTCCCCTGTTCCTAAATATTTAGAGAAGACAATATCCATGTTTTCTACCACAACTATCTTGGTTATTTTTTCTTTTGCTGTGATGACTGCAGGGGTTTCTAAGGCAGAATATGCTTCCCCACTGTGCACAGCCTAGTGAGAGGAGAAATCACAATGCAGATGGGTTGTCCTCTCTGACCTTTCCACAGGCCCGGCAGTGGTGTCGTCTCCAGGTCAGAGTAAATTCGCTTGTGCAGATCATACACATTGTGGCTCTGGTATCAGGAATCCAGATGGGAGCCTTTGATCCAAGGGGACTAACTTCATCTTTATTTTCTGAGTCAGCCTGCGGGAAAAGAATGACTTCTGATTACCTCCATGCACACAGCCTGCGTCAGAACGGAGGCTTTTTTAGCTAGTGATGGTGCCCTCTCCAGGTGCTGATGGTATCATTAAAGATGTAGGAGGAGGGGCTGGGGTTGTGGCTCAGTCGTAGAGTGCTTGCCTCACATGTGTGAGGTTCAATTCTCAGCCCCACATATAAATAAATGAATAAAATAAAGGTCCATCAACACTAAAAAATATTTTTAAAAAAAGATGTAGGAGGAAACATGGGCTATTCTATTTTTTGTGTTCTCAGGATATTGAGGTTAGCTATATTCTAAAAATCCTCTTACTACAAAATTAACTTTAAAAGTAGGATAACAGCTGATTAGCTTCTTCCTTAAACTATTTTGTACTTTCTAAATTTCCTACAATGGGGACTAGGGGTATAACTCAGTGCAAAGCATGTGTTCAGCGTGCATGAGGCCATGGATTCCTCCCTAGCAACACACACACACACACACACACACACACACACACAGAGTAAATAAATTTCCTACAATTAAGTTTTATAACTAGAAAAAAACAAGAGTATGCTACATGTTACCACAGACTCGCAGTTAGAAATTCACAGATGGATAAACATTTATGCTAAAATTAGACACCCACCTCTGATCCTTCTCTGCAACATGTTGCTTCACTAAACCCCTGTGACATGTTTCTTTAAGGTAAAAAACTGTTTGAAGTACACTGGAAAAAGAAACAAGGAAAGATAATACCTCCTCGAGACTCCTACTAGGACAGAAGGTGGTTCTTTTCTTGGCATACTCTTCTATTGACCTGGAAATTGCTTCTAGCCATTCATCCCTTTCAGTGGCAGAACTGTTGGGGACAAGAGAAGGTTCCATCAACCAGATGTCAGCTTTGACTTTTTGCCTTTTTCTTGCTTCTGTTAGTTCTCCCATGGCAACCAACTCCACCACCCTCCAACACTACTCATCAAAAGCAGCAACTTAGAGGTTTATGTGAACAAATAATCAGAGCAGGCAATAGGAAACCCAAAGCATTTTAGCAAATGCAATGCTTTTGTCCTTTCTAAAAGTACTGCATTATATTAAGTAGCTTCTGAAGTCTCCTAAATTTACAAGTATCTTTGTTTGGTTTATGGGCTAACTGTCCCAATTCATAATTATAATTATTTACATAACCAAAGAGTTTCCTAAGACATAATCCTAGAATTTAGAAATATACCAAGAAATTATGTTTCAAACACCTACATACAGCGCAGAATATTAAATACCTTTAGATTATTAACATATTACCAAAAATTTCTAGAAAGGATAGCGAGGTGAAGGGAATATATTTTTAATATCATAAAACAGATGGTAAAAAAAAAAAAAAAAAAAAAAAACCCAGATATTGAAGGAGTGGTTAATAAGGGAAAAAGCCCACAGCTGTTTTGAGGGCTCCTCTCCCTACTTGGCCACCAGGTTTTCTGTTCCTTCCTCCGAATCATCAGGTGAATCTTTAACTCAACTCTAATGGGAATGGGCCAAAGAAGGGAAAGCCTGTCCAGAAAAGGGCATTCTTGTCCTGCAGTTTCGCTACCATGCCTCTCCCCCCAAAACTCTGTCATAACTCCCAATCATCACTGGTATCAGGACACTTAAGAAGCTATTTAAAAATTTTTGTTTGGCATATTCAAAACTGAGAGGCATATATTAAGTAACATAAATATATTAATTTATACATATACATGGGGGGAAGAGAGAAGGAATGGGAGAGATAGACTTTAACAATCAACTTAAAAATCCATCATAATTAAATAAAATCCATTCATTATAGATTTGTGACTGTGTAAGAAAATGTCCACTTTCTAAAATACTTTAGAAAATCATAAATTAGAAAACTGAATAGCACCGGGCATGGTGGTGCACTCCTGTAATCTCTGCAACTCGGGAGACTGAGGCAAGAGGATGGCAAGTTAGAGGACAGCCTGGGCAACTTGGCAAGACTCTATCTCAAAAATAAAAATAAAAAGGAATAGGAACATAGTTCAGTGGTAAAGTACTCCTGGGTTCAATTCCCAATACCAGGGAAAAAAAAAAGAAAGAAAATTATGCAGCAGTCTTGATGATTTTTTCATCAAGTGATTAAATGCAGTACAGTGTATTAGTCACTATAATTTTAAGTATAAAAACTCCATCATAAGTAATGGCACATATAGGGCTGGGGTTATGGCTCATCGGTAGAGCGCTCACCTAGCACATGCGAGGCCCTGGGTTTGATCCTCGGCACCACATAAAAATAAAATAAAGATAAGTAATGGCACAAATAAACATACAATGCTGCATTGAATTTTTTTCACAGGGTTGGGAATTGAATCTAGGTCCTTGCCTATATTAAGCAAGTGCTCTACCACTGAGCTATATTCCCAGCCCCCTTGAAACTATATTTTGAAAGGCCCAGAGCAGATCAAGAAGATACTAGAAACCACTCATCTTTTATACAATAATCACTCTCAGAAATGTACCTCCCTATTAAATAGCTTTGAGTGCCATTTAGAATATTCAGTAGTAAGTATATAAAAAGGTAGGAATACGGTTTACAAAAAAAAAAAGTTTAAAACTAATATATTTTTCAAATATCCATTACACACAAAGAACAAAACAACAAAAAAAGAAACACTTCTCTCTAAACTAAACCTACCTCAGTTATCTCTACTATTTTAGCATTACTGCCCCAAACAGCTACTATCTACTAATGAGTATATGTCAGCCTGTAAGAGTACTTCCAAATGTCATCATGCCTCACCCTCAGAGTGACCCTATGGAATAGATACTGAATCTCACACACACCCATCTCCCCTCTATGACACCATCACTCATCATCTCCATTTCCTGATAAGGAAACTGAAGATTAGCCATGTTAGATATCTGGCTTTATAGACAACAGGCTACTACCTCATAAGCTGGTTATTAGACCCAAGTGTAATTTAAGACTGAACCCTTCACAATCGGGTCATTGCCAGCTTGTTCAAGTTCTTTGATGGACTACACCATGGCGACACATGCTCAGACTTCTAGGCAAACATTCATATGATATTACTATCTCTCCCTCCCTCCCCCTGGCTCTTTACTGGAAGAAGTAACAGAAAACAGAGGCAGATGGCTAATTTGAGAATGGCTGTCAGATTTTTCTGGAGCCCTGGGAGCATGTGGAAAGTGACTCAACTGTGCAAATCATGTCGCATATGCTGTTCTCTCATTTAAATCATTCCTGGCTCTCTCCTGTGTGGGGTCTGCCAAGACGATGTTTACCAGCTCTTGATAACACTTCCCTCACAGACCACACACACTTACCCACAGCATCCAGAGGAGACATTCAGGCTCTCTTTTTGTAACATGATTAGTCAAAGAATAGGCATCTTTCTTGGACTGGGAAACGGGGCATTCTTTTGTAGAATTTGTATAGAACTAGAATTCAAAGTTCTGTCAAGCAAGTACCATTTTTCTGTTAATTGAGATGAATTATCAAGGGGAAAAAACTCTTCAATCAAAGGGACTGCTGGTGCATTAGACAAAGCTACACCACTTTTTGTACTAACTGTGGGATGCTACTGTGAGGTTCAAAGACTAGACATCACTTTGAAGCATCTGAGTAACATTTACAGGGAGAATATTAAGGGCCAGAAACTAAACCAGAAACTGGGCACACATAACACACCTCACTTTTAAAGGCTCACATCCAACTGAGACGAGAAAAGCAAACAACATAAGATAGAACAAATGTAAGGCAGATAAATAACAGAAGGGATAAATTACTTATTTAGGTATCAGGGAAGGTTCCAGAGGTGATGACCAAGTTAGAACTTGAAGAATTACAAGAGTTAGAAAGGGAACTGCAGTCTTTCTGTGCAGCCTCATTAAAGTCTTCTAGCTTTATTTACCATCCCAACTGATGACACCCAAATGTATACCTGTAGCCCAGGCTTCCTCCTGACGTCCAGATCCTTACATAAACTACTCTGACAGCTCCATGCAGACCTTACTCACATTTAATGTGCATTTCTGAAACTAAATGCCTGACTTCCCCATGAAGCTGCTCCTTTCTCAGCGTTCCTCTGCATAGTGAGTGGTCCCACCACATACAGACTCGAGACTCCTGAGGAATAACCCCTTTCTCTCATATCCATATCCAATTAAATGCTTCCTTTAGTCCACCCTCCCAACTGTGTTCTCAGTAGCACATCATTCCCTGGTATAAACTATTCAGTGGCTTCCTGTGGCTCTTAAGCTAAAGACCCAAATCCATAAGGTGATTCTGCAAAATCTATCCCACTTGTCCTTCCAGGCTGGTCACTCTCCTTGTCATGTTCTAGCTCATGCTACACTGGCCTTTCAGTTCTTTGAATACTCCATGCTCCCTTTTGTCTCGGGATCTTCATACTCATTGTTTCTAAAGACCTGGAGGCTCTTCCAGTACCTACTCATCCTTCTTAAGTCAATATGCACAGCAGGCCTGTGGGGTTTGTCCTTCTATCCTCTCTCTAAAAATCTAGCTCAAGCTCCTTTGTTTTATAGTTTCATAGTACCTAGGACTTCTCCTGTGTACAATTAATCACAATAATACCTACTAGTGGTGATAGTTGCTAAGTCTTTCATTTGTCTTCCCTAATGAAATGTAAGCTCCTTGAAGGAAGGGACTTTTTAATTACCCACTATATCCTGATACCTACTGCAATGCCTGCCAGGCTTGAGGATCCAAATTAATTACTGAATGAAGGAGTGAATTCCAGGTGGGGTAGCTACCTGGGCAAGGCAGAAAGATAGTAGCATGCATGGAGACTGCATGGAAACTTTGAAACCAGGCATTGACTTCTCTCTAGAAAGTACTATATGGCACCTTCTTCTTCTATAAGGCTGTTTCAACTACATTAAAAATCTAGCAGTGCCCAGATGTGGTGGTGCATACCTGTAATACCAGTGGCTCAGGAGACTGAGGCAGGAGGATCACAAGTTCAAAGTCAGCCTCAGCAACTTGGAGAGGCCCTAAGCAACTCAGCAAGATACTGTCTCAAAAAATAAAACGTGGGGCTGGGAATGTGGCTCAGTGGTTACGTGCCTCTGAATTCAATCCCCAGTAGCAAAACAATATTTAGGTTTGTTTGTTTGTTTGGTGTTCTGCCTGCAATCCCAATGACTTGGTTGAGGCAGGAGGATCTCAAGTTCAAGGCCAGCCCCTGTGAGTTAGCAAGGTCCTAAGCAACTTAGTGTCACTCTGTGTCAAAATAAAATGAAAATAGCTGGAGATGGGACTCCGTGGTAAAGTAGGATGCAATCCCTACTACCCCCAAAACAAAACACAAACAAACAAAACTTCCCTGTCATGTAGTGTAGCCACTTTCATCTTTACCTCAGCTAGATCTCAGCCAGACCTTCTAGATAACTTGCAGCAGATTCCCCAGCAGCACTTGCTGCTTCACCTTGTACACTTTACGTTATAAAGATGCATCTTTCCTTAAATTCATGAACCAACCTCTGTTACTCACAAACTTTTCTTCTGTAGCTTCCTTACCTCTCTCAGCCTTCAAAGAATTAAAGAGAGTTAGGGCCTTTCTCTGGAGTAGGCTTTAGCTGAAAGCTTACTTTGGCTTAAAGCCTGTGGCAGGTTTGATCTTCTATCCAAACTACTCAAACTTTCTCCCTGTTGATAGGATTTCATTCATGCATCCACTGGAGCAGCACTTTGAGTTTCCTTTAAGAACTCTTCCTTTTCATTAACACCCTAGTTAACTCACTTTTAGCCTGTCCTGGTTTTCAAGATACCTTCCTCAATAAACTTAGTCATTTTTAGCTTTTGATTTAAAATGAGATATGTGTGGCTCTTCCTTTCACCGGAACACTTAGAAAATATTGTAGGGTTACTAATTAGTTTAATTTCAATATTGTTGTGTCTCAGTGAATATGGAGGCTCCATGAGAGTGACAGGGGTAGGGGAATGACAGGTCGATGGAGTAGTCAGAACACATACAACGTTTATTCATTAATTTTCCATCTCATGTGGGTATGTTCACGGTGCCCCCAAACAACAAACAGATCAAAGATTACTGATCACAGATTACTGCAATATATAAAATAATAATGGAAAAAGTTTAAAATATTGAGAGGGCTGGTGGTGTAGCTCAGTAGGAGGGCACCTGTCTAGCATGCACAAGACTCTGGGTTCAATCTCTAGCATTGCAAAAATAAGTCAAATCAAATCAAATCAAATCAAATCAGATATTGTGTGAACTGCCAAAATGTGAGTCAGACACAAAGTATGCACTTGCTGTCAGAAAAATAGCACTAACAGATTTGCAGGTTGCCACAAAATTTCAATTAGTAAAAAATGCAGTATCTGTGAAGCACAGTAAAGAAAGGTATGTCTATATGAGTCACACAGCTTCAGTTTTCCCTACTGCTTGATTAACATTATGGTAGTATGTTTTGGTTAACACAAGTCACGGCAGATTTCAGTTTAAGGTAATTGGTATCATAAAAAACAATGCATTTAAAAGCAAAAGACTTCAAGTTGTATCCTAGCTTCACCAGCTCTGTATCCATGAAAGGGAAACTCAACTTTTCTATAATTTGGCTTCCTCATTTTCAAGGTGAGATGACATCTACCTCATACATTTGCTATGCCTTTAAATGAAATGTGAAAACTTTCTAGTAAACTATAAAGCACTAGTTGTTTTTAAAAATCTTATGTTTCACTGTAAAAATATTTGAAATTGTCATGTTTAGATCTGGAATGTCCTTCAAAGACCCATGTATTAACATTTTGGTCCTTAGTGCTACTGGGAGGTGGTAAAACCTTTTAAGAGGTGGAATGTAATAGAATAAAGCTAGGATTGGGATGTGCTCTTAAAGAGGATACTAGTACTCTGGCCCCTTCCTTTTTCTCTCACTTCCTGGCTGTGATGAGGTGGGCAGCCTCCTCTACCACATGCTCCCATCATAATGTGCTGCCTTGCTATGGGCACTACAGCAATGGGTCCACAGACCAAAGAATGAAACCTCTGCAACTGTGAGCCAAAATAAATGTTTTGTCTTCTAAGTTTATTTCTGACTGGTATTTGTTATAGTGATGGAAAGCTGACTAATACAGAAATAGTCACTCAAAAAAAAAAAAAAATTCAGTGAGGCTGGTAGTGGTAGCTCAGTGGTAGAGTGTTTGCTTAACATGTGTGAGGCCCTGGACTGGAACCCTGGCATTATCAACAAAAACAAAAAGATCATTTTACAGCAGTGTTGTCCTATTTTGAAGGATATTTTTATCTTTGTGCTTCTATTATACTATTATATCAGTTGTCAGTCATTTATGTGCATGTAAGTCAACTATGGAAAAAATCAGTTTTAGGAAAGAAAAGGAAGGAATAAAAAGTCTAGTAAACAACCTAAATGTAAAAAAAAAAAAAAATGCAGGAGATATGACACTATCTTACTGGCAAAAATTCATCTAAATGTGTACATTTAAAAAAAAAATTTACCTGGCTGAGAGAATGAAGGAACGTTCAACACTTTCAATCTTTAATTCATTCTGATATGCTTCCTGGGTGGGTTTTCTGACCTGGAAGAAAGCATAAAAACCTGAGCAAACTCATCCTATTATAAATTCCAACTCTGAATTGCAGCTGAAGTTGCCTAGTTGCTAACATCCAGGATCAACCTTCCTACTCAGCTTGATCTCCATCTCCATCATCTAATCTCCATCACCTACTCTATGCTTCAGATGAATACCCACATCCAGGCCAAATTTCCCAAACCCAGGCCTTTGGTCACAATATTCCCTCCAGCCAGAATTCCTTTCCCCATATTCCAGTGTGGCCACCTATGAACCATCCTTTAAGGCTCATTGGCTCTTCTGCCTTAGACTTCCTTGATTCTCCTCTTTCCTAAATGTCTATCAAAATACGCATGCCAGTTCCTTCACTATGCCCATCAAAAGATGTGTGTTTATTTTATAAATTCCTAAATACTTTTCACTATGTCTTTACAGTGATATTTATTACTGTCTACTGTATAGTGTATTATCTTTCTAACTGTGTACTCAATCTTGCTGGGGAGGGAGGCTGAGGTAGACAAAAAGAATCATTCTTCAACTCATCCTCCTATTTTCATCAAACCTACTACCATGTTTTGTTTATAGTCATTCTCAATAAATATGGTAGAAATAAATTAATGCATGAGTGAACAAATGACATGAATGAATAAGCAGATGCATGAACAGTAGCATAAGGACAGAGAAGAGTTAATGACATGAGAAAGATGATTTCTTAGGGATTCTTCTCTGCATATATAAACATGTCTGAGTAAAAAGAAAAAAAATGTTCTAGGGCTGGGGATGAAACTCAGTGTTAAAGTACTAGTCTAGCATGCAGGAGGCCCTGAATTTGATCTCCAGCACCACAAACAAACAAAGCAAAGCAAAACAAACGAACATACACAAAAAACCTCTAACAGATGCACTGACCTTCATTCCAGCCAATGAGAGCATGTTGTTCAGTTTATACATCCCAGATTGTACCGGTGTTGTATACAACAGGGCATCATTAAACTGAAAGTAGAAATATTTCATAGGACAAATTACAGAAAATAATACTAGCTACAATGATACTGATATGATAAAAAAAAAATAAAGGGAAAATATTACCTCATGTTAATAGCTCTCTGAACAAAATACTTAGGTTCTGCTGATATATACTAAAACCATCTAAAATGTTTTAGGAGAATATTATTCAAAAGGCAATTTCTAGAAAATGTGTTTCCTTTCTGAGTTCTATAACAGATTTAATGTTTTCTGAATTCTAAATCCTACCAAGGTTTCAGTCTCCCTTAAAAAAATAACTGATTTTTTAAAAACAGTTCTACCAATCTAGAAATTAAAATAAATTCCAAAAGAAAATAATTTTCTGATATGCATCATAACAGACCTTATTTTCTATACTTGAAATGAAACTAAATAATATGGCCAAAGACTCCATTAAAACTGGTATTTGAATGTGTTGTGTTTGTGTGTTGTATGTAAATGTCTTGTTACATTAAGCAATGATCTGGACACATCAGAGTTACATGTGGCATCTTACCAGGAAAAACATTCGGGGCTGCATGACCTTCCGGGATAGCTTCTTCAGAATTCCTTCTTTGAGAAAAACCTGATTCATTCAAGCAAAAACTCAGTTATTCCAACCATTGTATTACAATTGCAATATACATACAATTTCTTTTTCATTTTTCTTCCCTAAGAATTTTTTTTTTTTTTTTGGTGGGAGCCTGGAACAACTAGGACAAATTTCCCTGTGACTTTTTATAGTCATGCCTTTTTTCTATTGTGGTGCTGGTGATCAAGCCCAGGTCCTCCTGCAAGTGCTCTATCACTGAGCTACAATCCTGCCCACCCCCAATACTTTTCTTTTTAAACCCTGTAAGTCACTTAGAAACTGGACAAAAGGAAAGATTAAAAAAAAAAAAAAGCCAGAAAATAAAAGGAAAACAAAACAAGAATAGGATTAGATAAGCATATAAAGTTTCATAAATCATATATCAGCCCCAGGGGAACTATGTGGACTGATATGTAATTGAGTACGTACTTAGTCCTGAGGCATATACAGCAACTGGATAACTGCATTTTGTAATTTTCCTGAATTCATTCCCCAAGCCACTTCTGTGCTCTATGAGGAGCATCAAAATATCAATTTTCTCCCTCCCTTCATAATCCTCTTTGCATCAAAGATTTTAAGTATAATTGACTTCAAAGCTGTGTGAGGTCAGTTGGTATTACAAAATAAAAATGATCCCATTAAATCATTTTATCGGGACTCTGTGGGGTCCCTTGCCTTTCTCCTAATTGAATTGGACTTCTTGTCATGGTGACTTACGTTATAAATGTTTTGAATGGATGGAGCAATCCATATTAGGTCAGCGAAGACTAACAATAATGAATAACCTATTTTCATAACTAAAATAAAAATTAGCTACAGATGGTGCCTGAGTACGTGTTAAATTTGCAAAAGGTAGTCTATAACACTTACCCGTCCAGGCTGCACTATTTCATGGTGTCCATTTAAGCTGTACTGAATTTGCATAAGTTTCTGAAAGTTGTCCTAGAGAAAGACAATGTAGAGCACGTGAAGGCCCAGGCTCCCAGGTTGAACAGTGTGCTAGTCAATGATAAGATACTTACTCCTTGCTTCATGGTGTCGTTGGCATGGTTTGCTACCTCTATTACAACTGCAAGGGCATCTAAAATAGAAGGGGGCTTCTGGTTATTACCATTGACACACACAGTTTGCAACATTAAGCATTTCCAGATGACAGGGCAGTTATTTCATAGCAACCAAACTCTGGTGGAGCTGGGTTAACTGTGAGTAGGCGGAAACATAGACAATAAGGTTCAATCGGGGTGTATCCAAGGAAAACAAGCAAAACATAATACCTGTGAACAAAAATGAGCCACAGAAAGACTCTAAAGAGACAGGGTAGACCATGTTTATCAATAACATAATTTCAGGGTTTCTTTGTGCTGGGATTTGTTGCCCTCTGGAAGTTTACAAGGGTTAGAATAGGATTTTACCAGGAAGCAAAGGACCACATCAATATAGACTGTCACAGGGAAGAGGGATCACGAGAGACAAGGAAACAAGAACTATGAGAAAAATTATTTAAAAGGCTCAAGGGTTTTAGTCTGCTGGGGTATCTAGTCTGCTTCCAAGAGGTGTGGGTTAGAAAGGAGAGAAATCTAAGATCTAATGTGCTTCCATGTGGCATTTCTGGAAGCACATTAGATCTTAGGAACGTACAAGCATCGTTTTTTGAGCTGGCTTATTCAGCTTCATAGATCAATCTATGTTTTATACTTTACATTCGCCTCTTGCCTTCTGCAGTCTTTTGCAAAGTATTTTTTGAATACTCTGGTCAAGACCTTTGGAACTGGATATAAAGGATAAAGTCTGCCTTTTGTCTGCTTTTGGGAAGTACTTGTTTTCTATCCAAGGCAGCAGCACTCCCTAGGGACATGTGGACATGTGTAAAGACAACTTGTGGTCATCACAATGACCAGGAAGGTCACTGGCCTTTAGTAGGTAGAAGATAGGGATTCTAAACACCCTGCAGTACTCAGAAATCCACAGAAATTATCCTGTATAATATGACAGTGACATCATCAACTGAGAAAAAATGAACACATGATGAATAGTCATGCCCTTCTGAGGCTTTGTGGAAGTGATGATGTTTATCAATGATAAAAAAAAATAAGACTAATTTTTTAAAAGGGGTTGAGATTTTTTGGTTTAATGACCATAACTCATCAAGAGACTCTCTAAAAATAACCCTGAAACTTTCCATAGTCTTTAAACATATTACTACGGTTTGTGTGTGTGTGTGTGTGTGTGTGTGTGTGTGTGTGTGAGAGAGAGAGAGAGAGAGAGAGAGAGAGAGAGATGTTGGGGATCAAACCATGGCCTTGCTCAAGCTAGGACAGAGTTCTAGCTACACTCCCAGCCCTTTCACTGTTATTAAAGATAAGCAGAGGGGCTGGGGTTGTGGCTCAGTGGTAGCCCGCTTGCCTAGCATGTGTGAGGCACTGGGTTCGATCCTCAGCATCACATAAAAAATAAACAAATAAAATAAAAGGTATTGTGTCCATTAAAAAAAAGA